GTGGCAGTGGGTGGAGGCGGGGAGGATCGTAGATGGGAGTAATAAAGAGAAAAGGAAGAGGAGAGATAAAAGTGAGAGAGAATGAGGAACAAAGTGGAAGGAAGAAAATGCCATCTCTCTTCTTTCTCCTACCTAAAACCTTATTTATTGAATCTCTACATATGATCTAGTGATCTATTTATAAGATGCTGGATTGGATACTCTGTTTCTGTAATTTTATTTCTGTAATAGAAAAATTATAGAATTGTGGTGTAAAAAAGTGGTGAGTTGTGAGTGTCCACAGCAGAGGGCCTGTCAATTTGTTTCTTGTCGTAGAGGTGGAGCTACCAGCGGTGGTAGCTCTGACAGGCCACGTGAACTGCTGGCGCTATGCATAGAATTCGGATTCCCTACTAATTTTATGAGCCTGGATCCCCTGTCTACGAGAACCCTGCCCACGTTTATACGTTTATCTTAGTCACAAGAATATCTCATTCTCTACATAGTTCTCGTAGGCAGGAGATCCTGCACTCTAATTTTACTCCGCTCTTCTCCCAATTAAAATACACCACCTGTCACTACCCATACTGGAAGAGAATTAACAACTGATCAAACCTTAACCTCTATTAAAATATATTCTTATGTTTTATTTACCCACAAAACATTTCTTTTCCCTTTCTCTTTTGCACGCTAAGGACAAATTTCCAAAAATGCAAATTTCAAATCAAGTTATATAGATTCACACCAAATATTGAACATTCGATAGCTTCCAACTTCATTTATTTGGTGATTTTGTGCCCTTTTTCTTTCTTAGTATTGTGGATTAATGGAATAAAATAGTCATTTGCCAATTAAGGAAAAATTGCTTGGTTAAATAGGAATTTATTATTGATTTTCTTAAAAGACTTTCAATCAACGTTTTAAAAAATGACATGGAAACAAAACCGTTTTAGCCATCAATTTTCGAGTCAACAGTCCAACTGTTTGTTTTGAACAGATGCCTCATTTTGACAAACAAATTAAAAAAATAGTAATAAATTGTTGAATGGATTGACGGTTCGACTGTTCAAGTCAACGAGTTATTGACATTTTCAACAGTTTTGACCAAAATCGGGTTTGGGGTAAAACGGAATTGGTTGCTTGGACGGTTCCTGGGCTGAACAGTCCAACCGTCCAGGTCAACGATGGTTCGAAAACCTTACTTTCAATTGAACTAAAGGGCATATATTAGCACAAGAAGCAACCTGTTCATCTTTATTTGAATTAAGAACATTGAACGTTGACACTGTTATAGGTTTGAGGAGCTTCAAACTGGAACTTCATAGGGCTAATTTTGAACATTGCACTTAGTATCATCCACAAAAAATGAGTCATTTTGATCGTTTATCATGTTATTTGTCAAATTTATCAATTTCTGGGTTGAGAAATGGAAATGGGGAGTAAATTCCTCAATTGGGCCAAATAGATTTATATATTGTGGAGAATTCAATTAGGGATCTGTAATATTTTCTTGTAGAACATTACCAGCAACTTGGGAAGAATATCAAATGCAATGAACTRGAGTTCGTATCTTCAATAGATAGTTTTTACCTTGAGAATTCTAAACTGAAGAGAAACATAAAAGTTGATAACAAATCATGTTATGTTTAATGGCTAGAAGGAATGTTTTTAAAACCGACCTAAAGAACAAACCGATCAGGGGTCCGGTTCTTGGGTCGAATGGTCGGCCCGTTCTAATAAAAAAATAAAAGAAAGATAAAAAAGGTCAAAACTGTTGAACGATTTCAACGATTCAACTGCCCATGTCAATAGTTTGTTAACCAAATCAACATTTTTTGGCAAAAATCCGGTTTTGAGGAAAATTGGAACCGGTTACCTTCCTAGTTTTTTTAGTTTGATCATCCGGTCCGGTCCGGTTTTGAAAACCATGGCTAGAAGTTTTAAGATGCAAGATGCTAGTTAGTGGGTTGTTGGAAGGCTAATCTCTTGTAACATGGGTAGGGACAAGTGGTATATTTTAATTGGGTTAGTAGAGTGGAGAGTAGATTAAAGTTAGAAGGAAATCCGAAGATTTGCTACTGATATGTGGGTTTGAAGCATTGTTTTCTGAAAAAACGGGTTTTTTTTTTGTTTGGAAACATTGTTGTTAGGTAGGACGTTTCCCGGAGCAACAACAACGTTTTTTGTTTGATACCAATGCTAGAGGAAACGTTTTCAGCACTGGTACCTATTATTCAGTGCTTCTACTATGTATATATTATCTTACATCCAATGGTGGAAAAAAAATACCTATTTCATCCTATAGTCCCAATTGTTCAGTAGATTATAAAACAAAAAAAAAATTCAGGAAATCATGAGGAAAATGGCAAAAAAATCTGAAAATTACATGGAAAAAACAGAAAAATTCATACACTAAAATAGAAAAATTTTAAACAAATGGAAAAATATAGAACAAAGTATCAAAATCAGAAATTGAATGAAATTACATGAAAAAATAGAATATAGATATATATATATATTCTGATTTTCGTACTTTGTTCATATTCTAATTTTCATAATATATAAATACAAAAAAAATTCTAGATAAATGGAAAAATATAGAATAAAGTATGAAAGTCGGAAAATTGAATGAAATTGCATGGAAAAAAACAGAATATATATATATATATATATAAATACATATATTTATATAAATATATATAAACATAAATAAAATATATATTTATATATAAATATAAATCATGTTTTAACACATATGAATTTAAACTGTTTATCTTTTAACATTTCCATCGATGTGAGTATCAAGATCAATCGACTTGAAACAATTCCAAACTGAAGTCTCCTCTGTTCAAAACTGATGTCATCTCAAAGATATTCTTAATTATTTTACTTATAGTGAAAAAATGAAGAAGAGCAAACTGAAGTCTTCTCTGTTCAAAAATTATGAATTTATATATACAAAAATTAGGAAAATGGAAAAAATAGTGATGAAAGAGCAAATTGAAATCTCATCTGTTCAATAACATGATGATTAGAATGATAGAATGGTGATGGAAACACGGATATGTTTTTCCAAGTGATGAAAGAGCAAACATCATACTATTGGCCCAAAAAAAAAAAAAGAAAGAAAAAAAACTCAGAATGCTTGAAGAATACAGACCTGGTATCTTTGGCGACTAAACAAAACAGTGACTAAAAAAAAGAACTCGAAGAACATAGACTTCCAGTGAATGAAAAAAGTCCGGTGACAAAACAGATAGTAGAACTGATCTTCGGCGTTTTGTTTGATTCTCCAGTGACTAGCTGCGCAGGTAGACCTCCGTTGACTAGTTGCATAGATGGCCTCTGGTGACCGGCTGCAGTTGACCTCCAAAGGATGAAAAAATGCAAAAGAGAGTTAGGGTTTGTTAAAAATAGAAGAGAAACATTTATGATATAGTGCATTGCGATGCACCATATCAATTCAAATAAGGACCATGCCTCGTCACTGCCATCTCATGTCCTTGTTGGCAGCAATGAGCTGCAGTTCCAGGAAATGCTAAATTTGATATTGCTCTAAGCCAGGCCTTCCTAATTTCCAAGGTCTGACTTGGAGTACCGTTATTTTTTGGATAAATGGTTCCAAACAAATGCCCCGTTTCCTCGAGCACCATTTTATTTATTTTATTTTTTTCGACATGATGCTTATGTGGCACAGTTTTCTGGAGCAAGGACAACGATGTCAAATAAACGCTTCAATTGACTCTTCTTGTTCATATAGACCGGGTCGAAGCCAACACAAAATTTCGGTGCACTGGCGGCAATAGGAACGAATCAAGCACCACTAGCGGCGACTGGCGAGGGCTGCAGTGGGTTTAGAAGCTGCTGTCCTGCCATTGGATGCAAGCTTCCTCTCGTCTTATCCAATGGTCCAAATTAACAAGTAGAATCGTTGATAAGCCAATAGAGTTAGCAGGGAAATTAAAATCGTCTTAGATCGGTCGAGTTCAAGCACACAGAGAAAATGTCGAAGTTAGAGCAAAGCATTCAGTCCAGTCCCTCTGTGGGCTAGTCAAACTAGATTTACGTATATATTGACAACCTCGTCCATCCATCTCTTCATGCCT